TTTCCCTACTCTTCCTGTTTCTAAAGTCCTGTAATTTATTATAATTTCACTAGGAATGAAAATTAAGAAAACTGAACTAAGAACTGTTCTGATTAAAATAAAGATTTGAAATAAAACATCTCAGTCCCTGAGATTTTCATAAATTGTCTATTAACATTTACAAGCTATTTACCTTGAAGGAGGATTTATGAACTGATACAAGGTAATTTTACCAAAACTACTTGAAATGTTTTTTAAATAAACTTACAGAATCCTAGAACAATTTGGTCTGGAGACACCTTACAGATGGTCTAGTTCCAAACCCCCTGCCAATGGGCAGGGACAACTCCCAGTAGACCAGGTTGCTCCAAGCCCCATCCAACCTGTTCTTGAACACTTCCAGGGTGGGGGTACGTATCCACTTCTCTGGGCAAGCTGTTCCACCATCTCACCATCTTCACAGTAAATAATTTCTTCCTAATATTTAATCTAAATCTTCCCTCTCAGTTCAAAACCATTACCCCTTGTCCTATCACTGCACGCCCTGCTAAAAAGTTTGTCCCCATCTTTCTTATAATACCTGCTTAGTATTGAAAGTTTGCAATGAAGTCTCCCCACAGCCTTCTTTTCTCCAGGCCGAACAACCCCAATTATCTCAGCTTGTCTTTATAGGAAAGGAGCTCCAGCCCTCTGAACATCTTCATGGCCCCCTCTAGACTTGGCCCAACAGCTTCATGTCCTTCCTGTGCTGGGGACTCCAGAACTGGACACAGTACTGCAGGTGGGGTCTCACAAGAGTGGAGTAGAGGGGGAGAATGACCTCCCTCGACCTGCTGGCCATGCTTCTTTTGATGCAGCCCAGGACACAACTGACTTTCTGGGCTGCAAGAACACATTCACTGGCTCATGTTGAGCTTCTCATCAACCAACACTTGTTTCAAAAGAAACAAAGTCAGCAGTACAGCCAGAAGTTGCAAATTAGATCTAAGAATTTCCCAGTATTCATGGAAATTTTCTTGCTAGTTCAAAAAGTTCAGATTACTGACTTTAAACACATGTACTATAAGAGGCAGATGACAATTCCCACCCCACCAATCCATTCTGTCCCTTCAGGAATATATGCAGGTTGCTGCCGTGTGGCAGGACTATCTGAATCATGAAGTTACTCCAATAAAGGTAAATCAAAGATAGTTTGTTGTAACAGGAATGCATCAAGCTATAAGTTGAAGTAGTCCAGAAATTGCTTTGTGTAGAACAGACCCTGTACAAGTGGCAACCCCCAGACACAGAGATGAGAGGAAAGTGATGAGACTTACCTGTTTGTAAACTAGCCTCTGCTTGGTGAGGCTCCTGCAGAAGGCTAGGAACCTTAATATTTACTGGCTTTGAGTCAAAAAAGAACCATACCATCAGAGTTAAAAGAGTAGGTAAGAGGTCAGATACACAACATCCCTCTCTTCCAGAAAGAGAAAAACTGATAGCATTTATCTGAAGTTCATCTGAGAGCTTGTTCTATGACAGCATTCACTCCATCTACAGATCATCAATGCTGCAGAGGCTATTTAAGTGGATTGTCCTATGTGGCAAATACATTATTTTATTTTTTTTTAATAATTCTTTTCTTCTAACCCACAGGCTTTCCATACCAGTGTCCTTAAGAAAATAATTGTAAGGAAGACCACAAAGCCTTTTCAAAGAATAATGAAATAAGAAATCACTACTAACTCTAAACTTATACTAAAACCCTCCACGTTCAGTTTCTTACTTGCTGAACACCAACAGCGAAGGCCTTCAGGAACACTTCAGCAAACTCATTGTACTCCTTGGAAACATTGCCAGGGCTTCCATACCTAGAAGCAGAATCAAGCATGCAAATTCAAGAGTGCAGCAGTATTACTAAATATTTTTTTTAGATAATAATAGAAGAGAAAATACCTCTCAAAAAGTCTAGCTAAAATATGCAAAGCCCACTTCTTGCATTTCCACCAAGGCAACTCAGGTCTATCATCTTCATCAACTTGAAGGGTTTCCTTTTGGGGGAAAAAAACCAAAACAGTAAGTATTTACTAACTATACAAAAAAAGTTCAAACTATATGTATTTTGAGCAACTGTATAGCATATTTTACTTTTAACATGCCACTTGCACTTCTGGCTTAACAGAAAAATAAAGTGCAGAATATCTAAAAATAAATCCTATTATTTATGCTGCATAAATGGTAAACAAATTCTTGAAACAAGAAGCCAAGATAAACTGGCTGTAATTTGAAAACAGAACTCCCATACAAGCTACATATTATCAAAATTTGTTTACTTTGTTTAAAAAACCCTATTTAGTAAAAAAAAAAATACAACACATTTTCTTAGCATCTATTGAGAAAAAAAATGCAGAAATTAAGTTAAATATTGAACATTCTAATGAATGAAAAATATTTAAGCTTAAAAACATAGACAAAATCCACTTACAGCTGGTACATCCCTATCCACAACAGTCTTCAGGATTTCTATCCACTCAGTCAGATTTTGCTGATTTATCAACTCCAGGGGTAATGTGTACTTATTAAAAAAGACAAAAATAAATTTATTGTAAAGCAATTTGAAAATGATGTTACTTTCACAGTTTTGACTTTAGCTCTTTCAAATCTTTGTCTACACTCGGCTACCATGAACGATTAGCAAAGGACTCAGACAACCAGGCTAAAGATCAATTATGAGCATATTAGCAGTTTCATTCCAAACTGCTGCATTTACACTGGTAAGTTTATGTAGGCTGGGCTCTACAATATGTCATTCAAAAACAGGTTTTCTGATTAGTTTTCAAGCAAACTACCTTAGAGAATGGCATGTGTTAAGTTCTATCTAATGCCAACCAGGAATAGGGCTGTACAAAAGCCAAAGTACAGCACAATCAAGCATACCAAAACCTGTGACTCATGCCACAACTGAGTAGTAGGGGACACAATTCAGATGTAATCTAATAATATTATTTCTGTCATCTATTATTTTAAGGAAAGACATAACGCTTTAAGTCAACTTACCCATCGAGTATTTATAAAGTTTATTTTTTACCTGGACAAGGGCGTAAAATATTTTGAAGATCTGTTTCTGGATGAGGACCGACTGATCAGATGGATCACTCAAAAGTTGAATGAAACTATCCTTGAGAACTGGTAGAAAATGTTGCATTGCAGCTATCAAAGGACTCCGCTCCTCTGGCTTCTTGTACCTTTAGATAAGAAGAAACTTGTTTTGTGCATCATAGAATCATAGAATGGTTAAGGTTGGAAGGGACCTTAAAGATCAAGTTCCAACTCCCCTGCTATGGGACACCTCACAATAGGTCAGGCTGCACAAAGCCCCTCCCCAGCTTTCCTGTAGGCCCCCTTCAAGTACTGGAAGGTGCTATAAGGTCTCCCCAGAGCCTTCTCTTCTCCAGACTGAACAGCCCCAACTCTCTCAGCCTGTTTCACAGCAGAGCTGCTCCAGGTCTTTGATCATCTTTGTGGCCCTCCTTTGGACCCTCTCTGACAGCTCCATGTCTTTCCTGTGCTGAGGGCCCCAGAACTGTACACAGTACTTCAGGTGTGGTCTCACCAGAGCAGAGGGACAGAATCACCTCCCTGGCCCTGCTGGCCACACTTCTTTTGATGCAGCCCTGGGTGTGTTTGGCCCTCTAGGCTCCAGCACACACTGGCAGCTCATGTTGAGCTTCTCCTCTACCACCACCCCCAGATCCTTCTCCTCAGGGTTGCTGTCCAGCCACTGTCCCCCCAGCCTGTATTTGTGCCTAGGGTTGCATTGACTCAGGTGCAGGACTAGCACAGGGAACTTTCAGGCAGCTTTTGAACTTTAAAAGTCAGCCTTCTCCAGTGTAGAAACAAGTTGGTTATATTACAGTTCATAACGTGATTTAAAAAAAACCGACAAAACTCAAAACCCCTAGCTATTTCTTGTTACAGAATTTGAAATAAAGCTATAGCCAGACATCATTAGTTAAAAACCAAGTCAGAACACTGCTGAGTGTTCATTACTCCACCATATATCCACATTAGTTTTCTGCTGGTAATGCATTCCTGCCAACTTACTCACTTTGAGTACTACATCATGTTCGGCCACACCATTACTACAATGAAAAGCAATCAGAGCACTACAAAAACCGCAAGCAAAAGGCACACACACTGCCAAGAAGGGTAGATGCCGGGCTAGTCAGTAGAATTCCAGAAAGCCATTTATCAAAGATCACAATTTATCAAAATACTTCCAAGAGCTAATTACTTCACTGACATCAAAGAAAGTAAACGATGAGGTGTCTGTCTCTCATATGTTACTGTTTAAATTGCCCAAATTTAACCAGTTGATAAGGACTGTAGGCTTCAAGGCTATGAGGCAGACTCTGAGCAGGCTTCAACTAGAAGGCCTCCTTGAAATAAAGTCTCAGACCTTTCCATGCTGGTGATAGTCCACCAGTTTGTCTACGCTGAAAAGAAGGCTCCATTGTCCTTTCTCGTAACATTTCCAAATTCCTGAAAGAAAACATTTTGAAGTCTTCCCCAAAGTTACAAAGAAAGTCCTTATTGACTCAAGAGTTATCACAAGAGAATACAATCTTGTGCACATTCGTGAGGACAAAAAGAACAAAGCAACACTAAGACTTCTCACCTTTGTTTTTCAATTAAGTGTTTATCAGCATAATATTCTTGGACTCTCATGGGAGATTTTGGGGTTGGGAGATCTGAGTTTGTTTTAAGTAAATTTTTGTAGACTTTCATTAATGTCAAATGTCAATGCTCAGCATCTTAAACAGTGCCAATTTACAAAAATATAAGATCAAGTCCAATCAATCTGCTGCCAGATGGCATGCTCTCTAAAAACTACTACACAACACTGAGCCTCAAAATCCTGTTCAATACAGTTTCAATGTATTTTCTGAAACAGAGATCTATTATAGGTATAAGGACTAAATGTCGTTGAAGAAAACTCAGTTTCTAATTTTCACAAAAGACAAAACTGAAAAAGACCAGAAAAAACCACTTGATCTTGCTAGATGGATTTGGAGAAGAAATAATTTTGAAAAAGATACTTACCTTCCATATTAAGAAAATATAAAACAAAATCAATAGCTAAAGACCCCTACAACTCCAGCAGTAAAAACTGGATCAAAGCAATCGTATTACGCATATTTCCCCTCCCAAAAAAACCCTGACCTGTGTAAACAAATTTTAGAGACCTGCTTGCACCCATATTGTTATGCAATGAAAGGTGCATATTCCAGAAAATTTAACAATTATGAGGAATTGCTGGCCTCAGCTAAAGTGTCTGGTCACCTAAAATTATGAACACACCTATTACTTTAGTACATCACACAATGACTGTGCTCATAAAATTCTTCTCTGAACCAGGATTGATACAATTGCTATCCACTACCAGTGAACACTTCATGTTTTATAACACAGATCTCAGCTGTATATTTGGTTAAAGATGTTTAATTGGAAAATCAAGTGAAAAATTAAGATTTTTTCCTTTCCTAGCAGGACTCGCCATTTTCAGCCACATAAAAAACTCCAACATGGGATTACAAAGGTCTTTATAGCATTCCTGTAAAAAACAATTTTTAAGAATCTGATATTCACCCATTTTACACTAATTTACACAGAATTCACAGAATTAAGACAATTTTCAGTGCAACATTTAAAATCAAGTACCTGAAACAAAAATATTACATATGACAGTGGTTTGGCCTTGCATATATAAGAAAAAGATTTCCTATGATGGGTTGGATGAGGCTATCAGAATTTTCAAAAGGATCATAGCAGAGCAAGTCAACAATTTCTCAACTTCTTAACATTAATTATTTCACAATTTGAAACCTTTACATGTTTACTGTCACTGGTAACTAGAATGCAAATTGTTTAAGAGTCTAAACTTGGTTTAAACAAATAATTGTTTTATGCAAAAGTCAAGATTTTGAGCAGTTTCTTTCTGCTATGAATCCATAAAAACCAACTACCTAATTAAGACTTTAAACACTTTCTTTTTTTCTGATCACAAGCCTTTAATGAGAGTGGTTTTTCTGTAATTTTTTAGTGGAGAAGATATCTGGGCCAAACACAGCAAGTGTTCAATAATATTTTCTAAAATTGTATTTCTATCACCTTTGCACAATTCCACACACACAATTCTACTTGGTTACAATATACACAGAGAGTACAAAAAATACACAGAAATACATTTATTTTGCTGCTTTATGTGGTAGAAAATACTCACTCATAATTTTTCACAAGTTGATAAAGACAAAGAAGAATTCCAAGCCAACAAGCACTGTTGTCAGATTGAAGATAAAATCCAATTTTCTCCACAACTGCAGTCCAGCGACTAGGATAATCATGCTTGATTATATGGTGAATGCAAGTAGTAAGCTGTACTCTGGAAATCAAAGGCACAATGATTAAATTTAAAGTTACAACTATTAACTTAATAATATTCTTGTGATATTGAAACAGCTAATATTGCCCAAACTTAGACTTCTTTCAAGTTTTGTTTATACAATTCAGGTTCTGTAGTTCCTGATTAAAATTCTACATTTGAGGAAATTTAACTTTCTACATGCTACACAAGCTGAAAACTGTGTTTCCATCTACATTAGCTCTATGTTTAGGATACATAGTGTATGACAATGATACTTAGCATGCAGGTGATCATTGAGCAAAATAATCAACAAACCCCAACAGTCAGAAACCATAGCTTATTCATAAACAGGTTAAAACTGCATACCTAATCAGCTCAGGAGAGTGAATAATGGCTTCTACAATATTTTCACGGATACAATGTCTATCTTCTTCTGGGATGGAGTAAGGTGGGATCTCTCCTGGTGCAGTTTCACGATCTGGCCAATACTGGGTTATCATATTTTTCAAGTAGATAACCCCTGTGAGACAGAAGTGGCAAATCAGCTGACAGTCAAACAGGCATTTTGCAAACTAAATTTTTAGAACAAAACTGATTGAAATGACTAATATATTGGCCACTTCTAATTAAGAGAATAAAAAACTTAAACTATGTGAACTATTAACCTAATAATTTACTAAGTTAATATTCCATTTATTAAGAAGTTAAGATAGAAATGTTCTGTAAAGAATGTGGCTTTGTATAAAAATACTAAACTTACTGCTTTTATCTGTGCTACAAATGAGTAGTTGCAGAGCATTTTAGGAACAAACTTCTGAAAAATCCTTTTAAAGTATTTTCTCAGTAGTTTCACTAAAGCTAATCAATACTAATGACTACCTAAAACATCCTTTGTAAGAAAGTTTAATTAAGTTTGAGATACAGGAGTGGATGCAAAAGAGAAACAGTTCCTTTATACCAAGGTTATGGACCACAGCACTTTGTAGCCATCAGGCTGTTGGCACAAATGTCTGCACTTACCAGTTGACAACCAAATCTAAACCGCTTATGTGGCAGAATGTAGATTACAGCACTTGGAAAGAAAAGGATTGACAAAACGCAACAAGATATCTCAAATTACAAACCAGTAGCAAAGTTATTATTAATCTAATTATTTGCACAAATCTATAAAGCAACTCATCTTTCCAAATTTCATATGGACCTTCTGAAGGTTTAGAAACCAAAGGGCTTCTGAAAGGGTTTGCAGAGATAAGAAACACTCAGCACATATGTGCTATTACAAGACTGAAGTGATGCAGACTTCAATCTGTCCTCTGGGAATTACTGTGCCATTAATTGTTCTGCTGAACACTCACTGTTTGTAAGCTTTGTGTTTTATGAGTTGTCTCCACTCTTTACAGACTGCTTTGTTTTTTAATTGGCTTATCTTGTGGGTGAATTTTGGGAGGCTGTCCTCAAACCTCCCCATTTTTGTGCATGTTATACATGCAAAAGTAATAACTTTTTTGAATCATCATATAAATGGTACGCCAAGCAACACAATAAAAATGCAAGTTAGACATATGCTGCAACTTAGAATAGTCTACTAAATGGAAGATCCAAATAAGCAATCAAGATCATACTTCTTGAGTAGTCAGAAAAGCCACTGAGGTATCCTTTTAGAAACCTCTATCAAGTAATCCCAGCACCTTCAAGGTGATCAAAATCTAATATTAATGATGGATCATGTGCAAATTATCAGGATTCCAAAAGACATAATTTGTTTTGTCCCACCAAAAATGTTTAGAAATATTAGCATTACTAGCAAAATGTTAAATTACCTCCTTGAACCAAGTTAGCATGCATGACAAACCAGTTTCCTCATTATTTATTGGAGATAAAGGGGAGCAATCACTGGAGAGCCAGACATGTTTTTGTTCTGTCTGTGTGTGTAGTGCCAGATACAGTTTATGATTGCTGTAATTCATACAACTCCCACCTTTTTGAGTATTTGAGATTTAGACCATTGTAAATCTTAAACAGAATCTGCATAGGTACTCGTGCATATGCACCAAAAAAGTTGATACCATGAAAAAAATATTTGAAAACTTGCCTGCCTGTCTCACTGGTAAATCCAGTTGGTCAGACATAGTGATCTGAAGCAGAGTTGAAACAAAGTTCACTGACTTGTGAGCCTGTAAAGGGAAATAAAAAAATTATTTACTCATAGTGTGTTAAGTTTTAGAATATTCCCCTTAGGTTTTACAATACCTTTATAATGATGTAATGGAATCAATAGAATACCAGCAATACAGACAGTTTCACAGTAGTCAGCTAATCAACCAAAGCATTCTGAGGTTTCATGCTCACTGGATTCTGAAGACAGCATGTGGGAGGAAAAACTCTACTGTCTAAGGTAGTAACAGTTGTAGAAATCATTAAACAGGCTTCAGGAATAGGCCTTTAACAGTCATCAAGTATCTTCTTCATTCAAAACATAATGCTTACTTACTATCTAAATAGCCAGCAAAGTACAAGCACAGCAAGTTTACAGTGACCTTTAACACGGTCTGAACTCAGTATATCATCATCTAAGTAACAGATTGTGACTATGTTTTAAAACTAGGCCCAGCCCCAAACAAGCCTGTCCAACTTACAGTTGATCTTTCCAAAAAATAGCTTCAAGTGACCATTTATGCATTACTACAGCAACTGTCATCATACCTACAGAACAGCAAATCAGCAATTTGGAGACCTAAGTGGAGTGACATCTGTGGAGTAACAACTTTGCAAGTACTTGCAAGAGTTCACTTACAAAGGAAAAAAACAAACACAAGTGTTTTTCTTACAATCATGAGAAACATCACTGAGACACTAAATGCTCTACTGTATTTTCAATACAAGGAAACTAACCTTAACATTGTTATAGAATAATTTATCCACCTTTCCTAAGCATAAAAAATTCAATACATGAAATCAATTTCCCTGGGAAAAGTTAATTATAACCCTAAAAAACTAACTACTTTTTTTATAACTGGACAACAACATAATACTAACTCTACTTTTTTTATAACTGGACAACAACATAATTTTTCTCAAGGTCAAGAGTCAGTGGACATAAGATGCAGTGAGAGAAATTCCTGTTTTGCAAAGGAAAAAAAATATCACAAGGATAGACATGGTCTGGAACTGTCTTTCCACAGAGGCTGAAAAGCCTTTTGAGATGCTCAGAACTCAATTGGACAAGTCTCTATCTATCCCAACTAACTTTAAAACAGCTTTGCTTCAGGGAGCTGGACCAGATGATGCACAGAGGTCTCTTCTAAGCTAATTATGCCAATATTCAAATTGCCAAGATGTACTTCTGCTTTATCTTCACTGACATGTCAATATTGTTTCACGTACTTTTTGCAGTACTTCTATCAAAGACAACTGCATAGATCTACATAACTTAACCTGCTAAACTCTTAGGAAACCATCACTTACTTACTTGTTACACAGTTTATTACTCCCTACACAAAGCAAATAAATGAATACTTAGAAAACCACTGAAATTTCATTTACACATTTATAAAAAATAAACAATTCTCTCAGTTACTGGAACAGAGCAAACTAATACCATATAGAGAAACAATCAGGAATTATCTTTCTACTCTTTTAGTAGGCCCAAAAGCTCTTTTGACACTAAAAAATTATGTCAACATTTCTCCTAAGTGTGTAACACTGCCCAGCTCACTCCTACAGCACCAGGCTTTCCCTTGGAAACATCTCCTATACATTCTAGCATAAGCTAGTGAAAAGAGACAGGCTGGGACATTCATGTATTTGTACTAAGATTGGATAAGTGTATCTTGCTTTCTACCTCCTGTTATTTAAAACTGATTTTAAATGAAGAATTAACTGACTTAAGAATCTCCCCAAAATATTAAAACATTGTTGTACGTATTCACCCAAGGCACTAAAAAAAATAAATCTACAGTCTACAGAAAACTCGCAGAAGCAAAACTTGTATCTGGTCCAAATGATATATTTATTTGTAGACCGTGTTTTGTTGAATTGGGAGGTAACTGACACTGCAATACAAGCACGTATCTTTCTGATCCCATACCCCTCTGATATCCCTGAAGTCCTGAAGAACCAAATATACTTTCAAATAATAAAAAAGGTATTTGTTTCAAACTGTCAAGTAACAGTTGAATAAATCATTTTAAATGAATTTAAAATAAATTTTACTAGTAAGTATTAATTTCTACTACAGCTTCATTAAGTTCTTTCTATTCATAAGTAAGATAAACAGACACACTTCTGCAACACATACCAAATGACACCAGACCCTCATTCAGCACAGTACTCAATTATATGCCCAACATTCATGCCAGCGGAAGTCCTCCTGTACCTAAATGTATTACTAGGAGCTTGCTAAAGAAAGCCTTCTGTTTCAATAACCTTTAACTCACCTACAAATAAGGTCATACTACAGTCTGCATAAATGAACTTAAAAGTGCAAACCAATGTATTTCCACAATGACTACAATAAACTTAACAGCTACCTTTTCAATAGTGAACATTTGTAATGTATTTCTTGTTTTGAAACTGAAAAGCATTCAACCCTAGAATTCAAAAATGAAGGATTAATTTCCCTTCTTCATGATAAATGACAAATATCCTTTTAATAAAAACTATCAATTTCAATTTAAAAAATGGAAACTGCTTAAGAACTACCAAGGAACTAATTGGAATAACAAAACTGAATAGAAAAATGTCTTAAAAACAAAAAGCAACACAAAAAGACAGAAGGGTACAAAACTGCCACACACAGAAGTTTAATAAAATACCATTAAATTACCATTAAGTACATTTTTTTTAAATAAGGACTGATCCTATGACATAAGCTCCCTACAAATGTAATTTATATTACTAAGTGGAATTAATATACTTTCACTGGATTCTTCGAATATAACAAATTTTAAAAGATAGGACCAGAACACCTATACCATTATTCTGGTTTGCTTTTTTTTTTTTACATCTTACAAGTATCATCCTTATTAATATTGCAAATATCAGACACCAATCAGCCACAAGAAAGAGCTACTTTACCACTTCTACTCATTCAAAGCAAAGATTCAGACTATAAATAATTTGTGCTTTTAACATGAGGTAGCATAAGTAACATAACTTGTACTTCACAAAGCCTCCTCTTAATCTATTTGGCTCATAACTAAATTTATACAGGGCTACATTAACTCTTCAATGCATTATATATAGAATACAAAGGACTTCCAAACTTTCTACAATGCCCCACTTCCCATGCCACTGAAAGGAAGTTGATTCCAAAGAAACTGAAGTGTGGGGAGGAGTAAGGACAGCTACATGAATGCATGTGTGTACTGAATGGTCAAATAAAACCCCAGGCACAATAACCTGTCACTTGCTCCCTTGTTTTGCTTTACTGTTAAAAAGAACACCCAATGTTTTACTGGCACCTGAAAAAAGCAATTGAACATAAAATAAAACACCATGCAGATGCCAGCTGTGTACCCAAGACATTAAATGGGCATGCCCATTTCTGCTATTTTAATCTTTAGTATTTTTACTCCTTAAAGATGGCTGCCTCTCAGGACAACATGCTCTTCTTCACTGACAGTGTAACTAAAAAAAGCCAACCAAACAAAAAAACACACCTATTTTAGGTACATATTCTATAAAACTACTGGCTATTGGTTTTAGTGCATGCAATTAGCCTGAATACTTTGCTTTACAAAATGTGAGCTAAAAGTGAGTATTCATTAAAGGTCTAAGTAAACAAATGTAGAGGATTCTGCTGGCCCATGCATGTTCTCATCTCCAAAAAGACTCACATGCACTGATGCCACTTCAGTGAAAGCCACTGGCAAGTAGTGTAATTCTACAGACAATTCCCATGGCTCCAGCATGTGAGAATTAAAATCAGGATTTCACAACGGTTGCTGCCACATACTCTAAACTGCATGTAGAACAGAAACAACTTCTACAACTTCATAAAGTTTTGACATCAGTAAAACTTTGTTGTTTATTCTCTTGCTCCTTGTTTACAAATACCTTTTTAAAATAAACATTAAATTTAGAAAATTACAATGGTAACTGAAAAAAAACCAACACAGTTCTGTCTAAGTCTGTTTCTCAACATGTAACTCCACATTTAAAAAAAATAAAACCAAAACTCATCTCAAGTCCTTCCCCCTTATAAATTCTCCAACATGCCATGTCACTGGTATGACTTCGTTGTTTAAGAGCCAAAGAATTCAGGGACTTTTCCCAAGAGCAATCTTCGCTATGCAGCCTCCCTAGCTGAGGAATGTGTTCTATCAGACCACAAACGTTGCACCACTGTCTGCTAATATCAAATGCTGTTCCATAACATACAATCTTTTTTCATATTTCAATAGTTTTTCCCAGCAGAGTTTGTTTCTTAGCCATGTGTTTTAACAGTTTTGAGAAAAGTGTCATGCCAGCTATATAATATTAAATATAAACAACATCTGAAGTTAACATAAAAAATAAAAACTGTTCATGGCATATCAACAGTTAATTATGTAGAAAATAACTTTTCCCCAGTAATGATACCCATTGAAGTCAGTTACATAAATCTTTAATACTAGAATAATTCATAATCTTACACAAAACCTGCATACCACTAAATGGTAAATACAAGAAGCTCCATCTCAGGTTAAAAAACCCGCAAGCGCTCTTCTCAGACACTAAGAATTGAACATACCATAACAGACACTACTATAGGTAGCTCCTTCACTTATGAAAAAAGCAGATCAGAACAGTAAAATTTACTATATGCCACTAAACTAGGACCCTAGGCTCTTTATACAGTTATTCAAGGTAGCACAAGTTTAAATAAAGGCTACAATTTATTTTTAAACGAGATGAAAAAAATACTAGTTTAACAGATCTCCATCACTGCAGTTTTGAAAAAATCTATATGCAATTTTTCATCAAGTTGGTGACAGGACTCAGTGAACACAACTATTACACTGAGACATAACAGTTTGGTTTGTTTTATAGAAAGGTAAGGTCAGGAACTCTAAGGCCATGCTGAAACAGCAAACTGCCCTGTAGCACTCTTTCAATTCTTTTTTAAGCACTCAGCAGGTGTGGAAGTCATTCTGACCTCAATTTTTGCAAGCTAGTTCTGCCACCTCTTTCGCAGCTACAATGTATATGTAAACGCAGTTTAAGATCAACAAAAAAAACACACACATGCTTATCAGATCTTGCAAACATCCTTGATGCTCATTTCATCAGACTAGTGTCTGCAAGTTCTGGAGCCTATTTGCCCTGCTGTTCGCAGATGCAAAAGGAATGTACTCTTAGCAAAGGCTATCTAAGCACACACAGTAACTATTTGCTAAGTCATGAGAAAGTGGCAAGTCGCCCTGTCTGCTCGGATTTTTACCTTGTACTGGTTAACATGCATCAAGAATGTAACTTCTTCCGAAGACAAAAATCCCTTGGTTCCTTACTGCCCCCAAGGGGATCTCTGGTGTTGGACCAGCCTTGATTTTTACAATTTAAAACCATCCTTTCCCCAAAGCATCTCTCATCTAGCACACACCAAAATATATAGATGAAAGATAAGGGAGCTGAAAATAATCGAGTAGTTTAGGTAAAACATAATACTAACAACTTTTAAGGAAGACCCATGATCTAATAATCAGAGCCAGGAAACTCACGCTCTGCTCTTGTTCTTACTCACACTACAATATATATAGTCTTAGGTGTTATACACGAAGATCACATTAGAAAAGGTTAAAAATAAATTAAGAGATGGGGGTAACACTATAAATATCTACCCCAAAGTATCCAAAGCATAGCATTTCAGCATTTGGAAATTCCTGGGTTAAAAGCACCATGTAATAAGCAGCTTGCTTTTTCTCCCTTTGAAAACCTTACACTCGAAAGCTCCCAGCAGTTATGAGTCAAATAATTTAATCATTCAATCGTTCTGACATTCATATCTATTAAGCAGGCAATCAAAGACATTGAACCAGGCCCTACTGTATTCTGTTAAACCAACGGCATGGTATGGTGACTAGTCAACAAGCTAAATAATTTCTTCTTCCCTGTCACTTGTATCAGAACATGAAAAAGCTCAAGCCTAACTTCTGAATGGCACTTTTTCAGTAGAGCAACGGGATAGAATTTTCCTAAACAAATTGTTAAACTTTGACTTACTGGGGACTGCTTTTTTAAAAAACAACCAAACACAACCGTCTCAGACACAAAAATTGGGTTGTTAGTCCGCAAAGATGTCTTAATAGCTTGTATGTACTGGGGTTAATCTCAGATACTTACAAGACACAAATAACAGTTAAGTTATAATTCCCTGGAATTACAAAGAAGAAACCTGCAAGGAAAGTATTATCTAACAACTGTGCCTTTATAAATACGTTGATATTAAAAGATGAAACAACACTGTGTATTATTTTCAGCGTCATTCCATAGCTGTATAGTTAAAAATACCTATTTTCATCACCGTTTCTGGGAAACACGTTATACACACTGTTATACATACTGTTTCAAAATGCAACAACGTATTCTTGCTGCTTTCCAGCAGCCTACTTGAAGAATCTGATTCTAAATTCTTTAAAACAAAGCTTTCCCCTGTAAGACAGGGACAGACATAGGTGAACACCACAGGGTATGTCATCATCTGGAAGTTACATGAGAAGATGTCACACAGAAGAGCTAGTGGTGTGATTCCCTATAACTTATTTTCACAGTAAGAAAAGTAAAGGCTTAGAGACTGAAATATCTGCCTTTTTTTTTTTCATGTTTAGTTTTTTTTAGAACTAGAAGTTCTCACAGCATTTTATGTGCAGGCAATATAAACTGATGAAACTTTGTGAATGAAGAAATAAAGCACAGAACAATTAATTACTTAGCCAAGGTCAAAGGAAAAATAACAAAACCTGGGCAAAACAAAAATCATACACCCCCATTCCTTTCTCCAGTCAGTGGAAATTTTGTTGATTATGATGAAGACAGATCTAGATACTTAACTCTTCTATGAAGTAGAAACATAAATTACTGACTGAAGCACATTCTTTTCTGATAAGGTAAAACAACCATTCTACTGAAAACCAGCCTCATCAGCTCCACAGAGGCACGTCAGACAAATTAAAGGTAAACTAAAAGGTCAATCAAGGACAGCTATTAAATTATAAAAACATTTGTGTGTGCCTGGCCACATACAAGAACAGCATTCACTGCTGTATGATTTCATCTTTACAGAGAAAGAGATCCCATACCTGAAATAAAATATCAACTGGTAACACAATTGCCCTAACAGTTAAAAAATTTAGACTAGTATTCTGCAAGCAAACACATGACTTCAATAAAGCTATGCAAAACCAAGACCATGCGTATGACTAAAACTACATTTATGTACAAGTGCTTGCAGATATAGGGTTTAACAAGTATCTTTATCACAAAAGGTCTCTGAAAGATCAGTGAGGCTACATTTCTTAAACCAAAGAATTCCTAGGCACTGGTTCATTCAATAATGTTTGGTGTTTTTAAAGGGAAAAAGCTATTTGGATTTTATACCAATTTAATACTTGTGTAGTACATGATAGACCACGATGTTTTGACTCAAGTGTGAACAAAAGCCAGCTGCTAGAGAGCATGATCCTTCATACAACAGTTAGACATTTACTGAAGACTTCCACTGGCAGAGAACATTATTTCCTGCATGTTCAGCAACTCAACACCTGCAGAAAATAACTAAAGCAGATTTCAAGCAAGTTACTATATATGGATATTGACATGCAGAGCACACAAGAACTTGCATTTTGGAGCCTGCTTAAGATTTTAGATATATTACTATCTTTATAGGCAATTACATTATTTTCACTTCTGTTTAAATAAGAAACATGACAATATTTTTCTAGTGTAGTATATGAAAAACAGAGCAAATTACTTTAAGCAAACCTCAATTAAACGCTATGTTTACAGCAATTTAAAATATATCCAATATTTATTTGCCATTGACTTACTATGTGACATGCAAGAATTGAGTTTAATTATTCTTTTTTTTTTCAGTACTATGAAAAGCTATACCTTCAGTTTTTGAAAGTTTCTCTACTGCCAGCAGAACATTTGGACCACCTTTATCTAAGCTCTCTTGAACATCTGTTGCACTAAATGTATTTCTGTCAGGCCTAAAGTCTGCTTACAAGCAACAAAGAAAGTAGTCTGTGGAAAAGGCCAACTAAAGGCACCACAAGAGCTTATCCTTCACCAACAAGCTATCACTTTTTCTCTGAGTCAAACACTAGAGCATCTTTTTTTCAAAATATCTACAAGTCCCATGGCTGTGTCTCATCAATAAAGTTTTCACCTACTGGGTGGAGTTGAGTGGAATAAACTTATAACCTTCTTCCAAGTCCAAAACTTGTAGAACTAGGACCTGCCAGTTTTGTCCTATCCCAATACGACACAGGAACGTAGCAATGACATATCTGGGCTGGGAATCCGGTCTTCCCCCGTCTTTTGGGCACGTGTCGATACTACACCCAGAAAGGACACCTACCTCCACAGAGCTGCCGAACCCCGTGTCCGGAGAACTCGTAGGAGCACCAAGTACCGCCGGGCTGGCAGCCGCATTCCTGAGCTCAGGCCACTCTCACGCTAGCAGGCTACACCACTTGGAAAGTGACGGGGGCCTTCCCAGCCCCTTTCCCGCTGACAAACT